CTGTCTGTCAGTCCATCCATTCATTCATTCATCCATCCATCCAGACGCCCAAGGCAGAAATCTGGGTGACATCATGGTACCTCTCTGCCCTTCCTTGTGTGACTCAAGATAGTCTAGACCACGCAGCAGTGACAAATCAACCGTATACTCTCAGAGATGTAGCACAGTGACATTTCTTGCTTGCCTATGTTACGGGCCAGTGTGGTCAGCAGAGGTGGAGGCAGAGTCCCACTTCACACAGTTTATTCAGGCACCTCCTAAACGGGAACGCTGCCACCCCCATGTGAACTCTGCATGTGACATGCAAGGGTCCTACAGAGAGGGAAGAGAGGTAAAGGCTCTGGAATCCTGTGAGGGGCGTTTTAGAGACTAGTCCATCATTTCTACCCTCTTGCTGTGGCTAAGAACTCGGGATGTGGTGATAAGTCACTTGAGATGGGTGAGCACTAACCACCTCTGGCACTCTGGCCAGCCATGTCCAGCTGGTCTGTCTCCAAGCCCTGTCATCCCTGTCTCCACACTGTCCTATACAGGACTCTTCTCCATCTCTGCGGCCATTGCTCCCTGTCAGACTCCTTCATCCCTCCCCAGGGTGTCAGCGGTGCCTTGACAAGCCTTTCATGTCTGCTTTCAGCTCTTGAAATATATTGTCTTCACCCACTACTGAATGAGATCAAAACCCCTTTGGTAGGCAGAAAAAGGACCCTTGCCACTGTCCAGAGATAGAAGATACATCCTATTCCCTGGAACGGTGTGGATGTGACCTTACATGGCAGAGGGATGCAGATTTGCATAGGCAGTTATGTTGAGGGTCTCGAGATGGGGAGATTCTCCCAGGTTGCTTGAGCAGACACAGTGTAAGCACGAAAGTCCTTATAAGTGAAAGAAGAGGGGAGAGTCAGAAAGAGAGAGTTGAGAAGGCTAAGCTTCTGACTTTGAAGACAGGGGAAGGGGACCATAGGCCAAGAAGAGTAGGTGGCCTCTAGAATCTGGAAAAGATAGGAGACAGGACTCTTTGGGGACCTCTAAAAGCACAGCCCTGCTAACACCTTGACTTCAGCACAGTGAGACCCATTTCAGACCTCTTACCCCGAGAACTAATAATTTGTGCCATTTGAAGACAGTAAGTTGCTTACAAACTTTTAGCAGTAACAGGAAACTAAGACACCACCATCTGGCAGCATCTGAGCATTTAGCATAACATCCAAAATCATTAGCATGATTGGGCAGACTGTAAGTTCTGTGAAGCAGAGACAGGGTCCTTTCTCTTCACTCCTGTACCATTCTGCAGGGTCTGACTCGTATTTCTTGAGTATGGATCATAAGGGGGAGGGGGAGGGGGAGGGGAACAAGACAGGGAGAAGAGAGAAAAAGAATAAAAAGAGGAGGGAGAGGAGAAAGGAGAAAAGGCATCCTTGAGCTTCCAATCTCGCCAAAACTAAGGTGTGTTGAGACTGGAATGTGAAATGAATGGGAATGTGGAAACAGGTCGCATTTTACCTGAGTGGCAGGAAGATATCTTGCTGTCCTTAGCTAGAGAAACCTAAGGCCCTCTCAAGAGCCCCCTCCTGCTCTCCTCGGCTCCAAGGCTGTGAGCTCCCCATGCTCAAGGATGTCCACTAAACCAGACACTGGGATTAGGACATGGGGTGACCAGGTCTCATTTTAGGTTTACAGTCTACTCCGATGCCACAGGAGCTGCCCTTAGGACTCTGGAAGGGACCCAGGATGGGGACAGAAGAAGGCACCAGGAGCACTTTGAGAGTTGTGCTAGAGGGTCCTTAGCCTTTCCAGGTCATGGGGTGGGGTTGGGTTGGGTGCCTTGTCCAGTGCTCCTTGGAGGGCAGCTCCTGCTTGTCCCAGCCTTCCCTGAGGCACCAGCAAGTCCCTGGGGCAATCTCTGTTCTAGATTTGAGCTCTGGTCACTCAGAGTTGGACATCCCAAGAGACACAAGGCCCTTGATGGGCACCTCGGGAACGTGAGCCATGGCAGAGGAGGCCAGAACACAAGTCTGGGGCTTCCAGTACAGATGCCGAGGAAAGACCCCACCCTCCCTGGCTCTGCCCTCCACTGTGAGCCTTGTAGCTTTGTCTGTTTCCTCCAGTCCTGTATCCTGGTGCCTAGAGGGTCCCTGGCACATGGCAGACACTCTATTGGTCACGAGGAGAATGCACTTCTTGCCTGCCACCACCCCTTTACCCACCATTCTGGGAGCCCCTGTCACCCCTCGTGCCACCTACTTGGCTCCTGCATCCCCTCTGCCTCTCAGCCCTCACATCTCTGCTTGCTATCTTGAAGTCGTGTCCCCCACCCTGCTGGCAGCAGCAGCTGGCTATGCCAGGGCCTAATGCTCCGCATAACAGGAACATCTGTTGGCTGGGGTCCCTGGAGTGTGGGCCAGACACGGTCACGCTCCATGGCTGCTTCACGGTCAACCCAAACTGTGGCGGCCAGAGATGTGCTGTTGGGTCTCTTTCAAGGACATAATGTCACAGCCAACCACATGCTGGCTAGATGTCTTGCTGTAGTGGATAGACAGGTATCCCTGACAGTGGCCTATTGCTGGGACCCATGGCTGGCACCCCTCATATGATCCTCAGTGTCCTTGACTTATTGGTGTGCTGACTCAGAGTATTGCAGAGTACTGCATTATTCCCAGCTCCCAAATTCTGACATTCCAAGAGCAGAATGCTATAGGTCAGGGTGTGGATTCTAAAATGGCAGGGTCTACATTCTGGGAGAAGAGGTCTTCTACATCCAGAAGCTATAGATATCTCCTGGTCCTAACAGCACCCAATAGTGTGGACCCTGACAGAGACCATGGCCTCATGAGGCCTGCCCCAAGCCCTCTCCCCTGCCTGGCACCTGACTAAAACAGTGAAATTGATGCTAATGACAACAGTGTCCAGGGACACCTGACTAAAACAGTGAAATTGATGCTAATGACAACAGTGCGTCTGCATAGAGGGAGCCTGGTGCTATTTGGAGAACTTTCCATGTAGGAACTCATTAGTGCTCCTAGCAGCCCTGTGAGGTGGAGTGCAGAGGTCACTTGCTTTCCTGCTGTGATGTGGGAGGCCCATGGTCTCTCTGCAGACCAGGCTCCTTTCCCGAAGCTACTCTGCAGTCTGACGTGCTGTGCTTTGGCCACCCCACTGCACCTCTGCACGCTGTCTAACTGCGTCTTTGTGTGTACTTCGTTGGCTTACCCCATAGATGCCAGTGAGGGTCCCCGGGCTTTGCTCCTCCATGATCTTCTCACTTGACATCCTTTTCTCATCATTTCCCTTATGCTGGAGTTAAGGATGGCAGGGGGACTGTGGGACTCTGTTGAAGAATTGGGATGCTAAGAGCACGGAAAGCTTTTAACTGCTCGTAGGGTGTGTGTGACCCAGTCGGATACTCATTTTGAAAAACAGTCATAGCTGTGTGGGGTTGATGGAGATTCAACAGGAGGCAGTAACGGTGGTCCCAGGGAAGGGTAAAGGATTCCACGATCATCTGGAGGGAAATCCAGCAGGATTCGACATGGAGCACAGAGGAGGAGAGAGAACAAGGTGGGGTGTGGCTTCCTATACTTCTGGGGCTGGGAGAGATGAGGGTTTAGTGGGTGATGCTGAGTAGAGGCAAGAACTGCTTCGTCTGCTTCTGATTGGTCTTGGGTCCCCCAAGGTGGGAATGTCCAACAAGGACTGGCCCTAGGGGAGTGGCTGGAAACAGAGGGCTGGGCATATCAAGTACCCGAGTGGGGGGAGCTCATTCCGGGTGCGTGGCAGGTGGCCCAGGGCAGGGCAGCTGGCAAAGGGCTGAAATCGTCCTTTGAATTCGGCAGCAAAGAGGTCAGCATTGACATTGGTGAGATCAGTTCAGTATAGAGGAGGGACAGAGGTGATAAACAGAAGACTGGCTGTGGCTGGAAGGATAGAGTTCAGCAGAGAGGGCAGGGGGCCTCTGAGCTCCCCAAATTCAAAAATCTGGCTCTTCTTCCTCACAACTCATGTCCAGGGAGTCGCCAGATCCTCAGGATTCCTAGGCACTTCTCAGTGCATCCTTGCCATCCTCTCCGTCAGCCTGACCCCGTGACACCAGGCTGGCCTCCCCCATGGTCCCTGCCTCCTTCATCTCATCCCACTCCAAGACTCCAAGTCCTTTCCCAGTTCCAGCCGTGGCACACACAGCCTCCTGCCTGGATGGCCTTCCCTTCTCATCTGATCAATCTGTGCTCCTCCTCCAAGGGCCAGCTGGGGGCCAACCGTGGGCTCCATCCAGGCCTGCCCTGCGAGGCAGGTGGGGGCCAGGCAGCAGCCTCAGACCAGCCACTTCCGGCCCCCAACCCTGGGGTGAGCGACCACTGACCACCACTGAGGAGGTAGAGCTGAGGCCAGACCACACCGAGCTGGCCCTGCAGAAGAGGCTGCTGCCGAGGCAGGAAGTCTGGAGCAGGTCGTGTGGGAGGGGCTGCTGGAGAGACCCAGCAGCCCCTTTCTGAAGGGCCCTGCCCTGGCCTGGTGCTTTTCTCTTCCCCACAACCCTACAGGACTCAGGGGCTGTGGGCCAGGTAACATCAGGTGAGGCCCCCTTTCTGCCTCAGGACCACCTGCAGAGAGGCTCATGCCTCACCCCCTCTTTGAGAGGCTTTTCAGGTGAAGGCCTGGCCTTCCCTCAGACAGGAAGTCCACTTTCCTCTTCAGCTGCTCCCACCTGCTCGGCATGAGCCTGGCTTGTGAGCGGTCCACCCTGCCTCTGTGTGGAGGGTGGTGGGAGAATACAGGTGTGAGCATCCAAGTGTGGCGTGTATGCTGTACGTGTGGGCATCCACAGTGTAGCGTGTGTTGTGGGATGTGTGCATGCACGTGTTTGTGACTGGTTCTGTGTGGTGTGGTGTGTGTGCACTAACGTGGTATTTGTGTGAGATTATGTGCGTGTGTGCATGTGTGTGTGCGTGCGTGTGTGTGTGTGTGTGTGTAGACCCATGCTCACCATGGCTCTCTTCCCCCAGGCTGCCCTGGCATGTGGGACAATATAACCTGCTGGAAGCCGGCCCATGTAGGGGAGATGGTCCTCGTTAGCTGCCCCGATGTCTTCCGGATCTTCAACCCGGACCAAGGTGGGTAGAGCCCAGTCTTTAGGCCACACTGATCTAACCTGATCCCTGGGCTCAGCCCAGGCTCCCAAAGATAAGCACTAGGGACTGGCTCCCTGTGAACAGATGGTCTTTGCTCCAGAGCACTTGTAGGGGTGCACAAGCCTTCCTTCAACATGGCACGCAGTCCTCAGTGCACACCTGGGTGTGCCCTGGTGTGGGGTTGATACCAGCTCTGTCTCTCACCCTCCTAAGGACCTTGAGCAAAGCAGTTCACTCCTCCCAGCTAAGGCCCTGGTCTGCCAGGTGAGAATGTGGCATGGTGGCTCCCTCATGGGGTGTCTCTGAGGATAAAGTGAGGATGATCATGCATGTGGGTCATCGTGTAGTGCAGGACTTGGCACATCTTGAATGTTCAGTGGTCAGTGGTAGCTGATGTTGTCATTGCTGTCACTCACGCAGCCACAGAGATCCTCAGAGGCCCAGAGGAATGCGTGGACAGGGAACCCAGCAGTTAGACACCCTCAGGCAGAGTGGGAGTGTGAAGGGTGCAGTTGGGCTCATGACGCTCACCCACATCCACACTCATGGACCACTTGATGTGGGCATGGTGCCCAGGCCTCACAGCAGGCAGGCAGGCAGGCATGTCTGCTAAGCAAAGCGTTTCCTTGGCCCTCACTGCCCTTAGGTAGCTATGAGGGCTCAGGAGAAGAGAAGCTGGGGGTCCTGGCCTCCAGGAGCTCCTGGATTGCCTAGGAGAGGACACTATCCACAGTGGAAACAGTGTAGTCTGTAACGTATGGACGCTGGTTCTGGGGTGAGTGTATGATGGCACCCTTCCTGCCAGGGAGCGTTGGCTGAGTGGGGGTCACAAGGACTCAATTTTGGGCATGTCTGAGTTCGAGATCTCTGGGGGCCATTGAAATTCTGTGGAGAGTTCTGGGGGCCCCAGATTGATTTAGGAGCCTGTGGGATAGACATGGTGGCTGAGCTCTGTGATGCAGGACACAAAGATATGGGGCGGGGGGGTGGGGCAAGACAAAGTCCAAATGGCTCCGGAGGCTAAGGCAGGAGGATCGCCAGTTCAAAGCCAGCTTCAGCAACTTAGCAAGGCTCTAAGCAACTTAGCTGGGGATGAAGCTCAGTAGTTGAGCGTTCAATCTCTGGTATCAGAAAAAAAATAAAAAAATATATATATATATATATATAAAGTAAACTCTAAATGGCTGCATCTCCACTGGGGGGTTCCTCTTCTGAGAGGTAAAAGGCAAATTCACTTTCAAAAAGGCAAATTCACTTTCAAACCTCACGTTCCAGCAATATCATAAAGCAAGGGATTTGCAGGAGGTGGCCGAGAGAGGTAGTGACATATGTTGGAGTCCCAGGTCCCATCTCTGGCTCCCATTCCAAGAAGGTGGAGCCTGTCTCCCACACTCCCCACCTTGTTTTGTCCACATCCCTCACACCTCCAGACCTCTGCCAGCCCAGAAGGAGGGTGGCAACTGAACTCCCCACCCCAAGGGCTTGGGGACTTTGAGTGAGTGACCCAGAACAGGCTAGAGAGTGAATTCTGGCTGAGGAGACTGGCAGGGAAGTGCTGGAGCGAGGAGCACAGTGAATGGAGGGCTGTGAGGCACAGTGACAGCCTGTGATTCAGCCCCGTTCCTCATTCATTCCTCTAGAAACCAACTTAGTCACTTCCCCCATGAATGTATGGCTCTCATTCAGTCATTTATTTAAAGTTTACTGAACATCTTCTCTGGGTCAGATTCCATGCCAAGAATGCTTCTTGCCACAAAAGGCAAAAAGAATCTGCAGTCGAGTGAGATTTCCTGGAGATGCACATCCCTCCAGCTTCCCTCCCTCAGCAGCAGGCGGGCGGTGAGGTGACACCCCATTCCTAATGGTTCATTAAGGCGGGGACTTCAGCACCTCTGTTCACAGGCTTGGTTGGTGGGCTTGCCTTTCCACTTAGACGTGTGGGTTGGATGTCTCCTTTGCTTTCTCAGCTCTCGGGAAACTCCAGGGGTAGTGCAGCCGTGCAGGACCTTGGAGATGTTGGAGGTGTGGGAGTTCCACCCTCTCTCCTCCTCCCAGATGCCTCTGTGCATTTCTGTTCTAGAGGTGGAGGTCGAAGGCTCTCATGCCTGATGGTGCCCAGCGTGTAGTCCTGCTTTCTGCGCCCCCTGCAGAACTCTCTCCGAAGTTTGGGGGTGGGGAGGAGGAAGTGGTCAGTGAGAGCAGACCCCCCACTGCACACCCCTGCTTACCTCTGCATTTTCTCTCTTTCTCTCTCTCTCTCTCTCTTTCTGTTGCAGTCTGGGAGACGGAAACCATCGGTAAGAGGAACCTTGGTGAGGACAGACCGCTGTCCATCTGTCCATCTCTGTATGTAGCAGGAGCCTAGCCTCAGGAGATCCCAGGCTCTGACTGCCGGGATCAGCATTTGGTTGGGTGGAATGGCAGGCTCTTCAGGGACCAGGTTCTTCTCTCCTTCTCCCCTCCCCACACCTCTGTTCAGCCACCCTGAAGGTGGGAGCAATGGAGGACACAGCCTTTGGCTTCCAGGCCATCATGAGCTTGTTTGGAAAGACAAGACTCACCAATGGAGGAGTCAGAAAGCAAGCCCATGTGTGTGCATAGGCATGTGCGCATGCACACGCAGGCCTGACCTGTGAGTGAGTCCGTACAGATGCTCACATCCCCAGTTGCTGAGAAGGTGGAATGTACGGGAAGCCAGAGAATAGAAGAGAGCTGATGATGCAGCATATGGGCAGAGCAGTGAGGTCATGGGAGGCTTTCTGGAGGAGGTGGCATGTCAGCTTGGAAACTGGATTTTTGAGAAATGGCGATGCAATGTGGGTCCATCGCTAGGCTAGCATGGGATTTGGGCATAGGAGAGCGTGGGAAGGGGAATAAAGAGTAAAGAGAGAAGGATAAAATTCTGGGGATGAAGTCTTTGAAGTTTTGGGTTCCCTTTGATGAAGAGTGGGTCTGGAGACCAAGATGAGCACCAAAGGAACCCCAAGTCCTAGACCCCTGTTGCTGTTCTTTGCTCTTTTCCATTCCTTCCCCTTCCTCTCTACTCGGCAGAAGGCCCTCCCGCCCTCCTGACAGTGCCTATTTCCTGTTTCCTGGGGGGTGGGGTGGGTGGTTGAGTCATGCATCATCCTTAGCATCCAAGAAATGCAACCCAAGGAGATGGGTGTCAGAAGGTGCTGTGAGTCAGAAGGGTGTGCAGCCACTGTGTGTGAGGCTGTCTGGCGACCCTGTCTCCAGGCCCTCCAGACCCAGGCACATCAGGGAAAGTAAGCAGTGGTAACGCGTCAAGTTGATAAACCAGGCATTTTGACACATGCCCACATCTGTGTTTTACAGGAGAGTTTGATTTTGCTGGCAGTAACTCCTTGGGTCTCTCAGGTAAGGGACAGGCTGGGACCCACCATGGACTGGCTGACCGGAGGGCGTCTGCTGACATGGGAGCTTTGAGAGCCCCATTGCAGGCTGAGCTCTGCCCTCTGTGGCTTTGAGATCTGAGACTGGTTGGTAACTTTCGAGGTACAGGTACAGCTTGTCTCCATGGCAAACGGCAGTTAGGTGCAAAGGCAGAACATAGTACCTACAATTTCATAGGAGCTGGAGATCTCTTGAAGCCCCTATGTGGATTCTAAGCAAAGAACCCCCGTTTTAGATGGTTCCTAATAGTTTTGAACTCCGATACATAGGCTAGAGGTTTTCAAACCAAATTTAAACTTGCACATCACAGTCCTCTCCTGGGCTTATTAAAACAGATTCAAGGGCTTCACCCTCAGAGTCTTCTGATTTCCTCGGCCTCGGCCTCAGGATGAACATGCGCATTGCTAGCCGGATGCCCAGGTCTTCTACGGTCTAATATGGGCAGACGCTCATTCAGGAACCTCTGCCCTAAAATTCCGGGCTTCTATGAAACTGCTGGGGCAAAGCAGCCTGGTGATGTGGGCGCAGTCGCTGCAGGATTCTGACAATCTGGAGAACGCTCTTCCGGAGATTTCTATCAGAACAATATTCAAGGAACAGTTCTGGAACAAAAAGGTTTATACTTTTCTGTGCCTACATTAGTCTATAAAAAGAAAAAGAAAAAAAGAAAGAAAAGAAAAGAGAGGAAATGGCTTTTCTCTCTAGGACAGTTTTATAAAAAAAAATTGTTTTTCAAAACAACTTCCCTTTCCTCTTCTCACCACCTTGAGAAGGGCAGAGTAGGGAGGAGATGAAGCCCTGATGGGGAGGGGCTTGGGCAAGGCGATGCCTCCCCTGGGACAGTCAGACTTTCTGAAGAAGTATTTAGAGGGACTTGGAAGGAGATTGCCAGAGATTGCCAGGGGCAGCCTGAGCAGATTTTCTGGAAGGAGGAGCAGCTTGGCACCACACTGTGGGATTGAAGTGAGCTCTTTGGCTTTGCCCCAGCCTGTCCACAGAACTCAGCACTGGAGAAATGATAGAGGTGACAGAGACCAGACTCTCCCTCCCCGCTGCTGGGCAGAACTCTCCTTCCCTGCAGGCCCATGTCTCCAAGTCCCAGAAAAGATGTTTCTGACTCTCCTAGGTGAAGAGAACTGGCCTTCTATATTCCAGCTCAACCAGCAAGGATGTGGGCTGGAAGAGAAGGAGTCTCTCCTCTTGGCCTCTGCATCCTGCCATGTGTCTCCCTGAACCACTGCCCACCCGCCTTGGCGGCCTGGGTCACAGAGGGGAAAATTCTATCCAGCAATATGTGCCCTGTGCCCCTTGTCACTGAGTCCTATGAGGGGAAGAACCATCCCCATGTGTCCTAAGAGGCCAGGTAACTCCCAAGAAGCCATTCTGAGGACTGACGTCTCTCCGGGGCCACATCGAGGTGTTCGCTGGAGGAAAGGGGACTGCTTACCTCCCCTAATCATTTGTGGCTGTTCCTTACAGACCATCTGGTGATGGGAGAGAGAAATGAACCAAGCAACCATGGGAGGCAAAAAAACAGCCCAACGAATAGTGAAAACCAGGCTGAATGCTTTTTTGTAGCTGGCAAATGGCTCAATGGCTGTGTCTTACCCTGGCCTCCCCTGGGTATCGCACAAGATGGCCTTTTAAGGCCATCAGAAGAAAAACTAAAGTACATTAGTAACAGGAAATAGACCAGCAAACCCTGAAAGGCAAAACTTAACCAAAAACCAAATTGGAGTATATGTCTTAAAAAAGGTCCTAACCTAGTTCAGTGTCCTTGTTAATTAAGCAAGGTGTCTCATTGGTGCAGAATGTCAGCTGCTAGGGTAAAGTTCACCTGTAGAGTGGGCTCAAGACACACCTCTGGTCACCTGAGGCAATTCCTGGACACACTCAGATGTCCTGCTGAGAATCCCTGGGGCTGCAGGGACTGGAATCTGCATTTGTGATCAGTCTCAGGATGGTTCTCCTACACATGGACCTTTGAGAAGCATTGATCCAGAGCCTTGAGCATTTCCTGGCAGGTATTTGGGAATATTCCAGAAGGAGAACTGCAGGGCTGCTGGACTCACAGGCTCAGTCCCCTTACCCCTGGCTAAGAGATGGCTTGCCCCAGCCCCATGGTTCTTAGTAAAGACTGAGCTGCAGGCATCAGCTGTCACTGACTCCTTGGACCTCTGTCCCATGTCTTCCAGCGGACACACGGGTTTCTGGTTCCTACTTAAGCAGTAATGTTTGCATCTGCATCTCGGGGCTCTCTGAAGTCATTCTGTGCCTCACTGAGCGTTCTCTTCTCTGCAGACATGGGTGTGGTGAGCCGGAACTGCACGGAGTATGGCTGGTCGGAGCCCTTCCCTCATTACTTCGACGCTTGTGGCTTTGACGACTATGACACTGAGACTGGGGACCAGGTGAGTGTCTGTGCCCTGTTCCCCAGAAGTGGTGGGACAGCGGAGGAGACAGGTCTCTAGATGACATTCATGAGCACCTACTGTGTATCCAAGCCAGCTGCTGTGGTGGAGAAGCAGCTGTCATGCCGCCTTATCCTCCAGCCCCCACCTCCTGTCCCTTCTGGGGACACTGTCTTGCCTAGGATCCAGAACCTGAGGAGTTAATTCTGGGCCTCACATGGGGGCTCCCTCTCCTACCTCCCACATCTAACTAAAGGATGCTGTCTATACTGACTGGTTAGTGCTCTTCCTTTGAGCAGATGCTGGGGATGGAACCCAGGGCCTGGTGCATGCTGGGTAAGGGCTCCATCTCTGCATCACACCCCCAGCCACATCTGCAGAAGGTAACCCTGCAGAGTGGAGCAAGCAGCTCAGCTGGAAGTAGGGGAGTAGAGGTAAGATCCTAGGAGAGACAGGGAGAAGCTAGGCCCAGAGGGTGCAGGTCTGGGGGTGGGGGTGGGAGGGCCTGCCCCATGTGGATCTCTGCATATCCTGTGTCCTACTCTAGGATTATTACTACCTGTCGGTGAAGGCCCTCTACACTGTTGGCTACAGCACCTCCCTCGTCACGCTCACCACTGCCATGGTCATCCTGTGTCGCTTCCGGTGAGACTCCAGTGACACTGGAGCCCACACAACCCACCTCTGCTGAGAGTAGTCCCCTCTTTGTGGATGTCAGCCCTCACCCCTGGGGTAGCAGACAGAAACCTGACCCCAGAGAGGGCAGCCTACTTGATCAGGGCCACACAGCCAGGCAGAAGCTGGGCAAGAGACCTGCATTGCTCACTTTCATCTTTCTAGTCTAGATAGAGAGGCCATAGGAGGGAGAAGGGGCACAGGTTACAGGGGCCTGGAAGCCAGGATCAGAGAGGTGGGTAGAAGCTGGTAGACTCGGTGGCAGCCCCCTCTGAGACAATGGCAAGAGCAGGTCCAGGGCAGAGCCCAGGCTGGAGGGTGTGAGTGCTTTGGGGTTGCTTGCTTGGGGTCAAGTCCTCCTCCCCTGGCCTGCTCCTGCAGGAAGCTGCACTGCACCCGAAACTTCATCCACATGAACCTGTTTGTGTCCTTCATGCTGAGGGCAATTTCTGTCTTCATCAAAGACTGGATCCTCTATGCCGAGCAGGACAGCAACCACTGCTTCATCTCCACTGTGAGTGAGCTCAGAGGGCCCGAGGCTACTGCTGCCAGGAAGTCCCCCTCCCCGCACCGCCTGGGACTTGTTTCTCAGCCTGAGGCCCTCGAGTGTGTTCCTGGGGGCTGGTGTGGGCCCTGGTCCCTTAACCAGCTGAGCCAGAGCCCACGTGCTGGTTTGCTAGGGGTCTTTCCATGTGTCTCCTCATGCCCCCCGGTATTTGGAGGAGGCGCCAGGTGGGAAGAATGGTCTGGAGTCCAGCCTTTGACTGAGAGGGCTCACTTGAAGGTTTTCAGTGAGAAGGGATCTCTGGGGCCACGGTGAGCATTCCCTCCATCTGGGAGGGATCCAGGTCCCTGTTTTACCAGGAGTAGCTCTGGCTGCTTCTCCCTGCTCATCTTCCCTGTGGGAGCTGAAGAGGGGGCAGGTGGGCCTGGTGGGCTCCACGCCTGTCTACCTGTCCCTCTCCTGCCAGCGCAGGCCTTTTGGACTGAGACCCATAGGATGCTGCAGATCTCAGCGCCACAGTTCAGGAGTGTTGACTGTCCCGGATCCTGGGCGTGTTTGGGCCCCACCCAGCATAACTAGAGCTGAAGGTCCTCAGGACTCCCCTGGGCTTTAGGGGTTCGCCTGGGGTCAGGAGAGGGAGTACGACGTTCCTCGCCTGGTGGCTGTCCCTGTAGGTGGCATGCAAGGCTGTCATGGTTTTCTTCCACTACTGTGTTGTGTCCAACTACTTCTGGCTGTTCATCGAGGGCTTGTACCTCTTCACGCTGCTGGTGGAGACCTTCTTCCCTGAGAGGAGATACTTCTACTGGTACACCATCATTGGCTGGGGTAGGTCCCTGGCTGGGCCTGCACGCACTCGGGCCTCCTAGTCGGGTGTGACCTTGGTACTGCCCCAGGCAGGCGCTGACTGCTCATGCTTGGACCCCGCCTTTCTCTTCCTGCCTGTGGGAAATTCCCTGTCTGAGGGAGAAGTACTGCCCAGGCGTCCTCCTGAGAGACAAGGTGGTCTGAGGTCTGGGGGAGATGTTGCCCTCCCAGGAAGCCTGGGTGTGAGGGACAGTAAGAGTCCCCAGGAACTCCAAGTGTGAGGGGTGTGGTGGCCTCTGGGAGCCCCAAGTCTGAGGGAACAGTGGACATGCTGGTTTTCCTCTATTAGGGGCCTCTTTTTCTTGTTCTCCTAGGGACCCCAACTGTGTGTGTGACCGTGTGGGCTACACTGAGGATCTACTTCGATAACACAGGGTGAGTACATGCCCAAGAGTCAGGGCCAGAACAGAATAGATTCCTACAGATGGGTTCTCAGTGGCTGTCGACTTTCTCAGCAAATCATCCAACACTGGGCCCAGACTGAAGCCCAGCGCCAGAGGCCACCTGAGCCCAGACCCCACGCAGGTCTGCGAGCCAGCAGCCCAGGAAGAGAATAGGAAAGGTTTCTGAACCCTCTTTGCTCTGGGCCCAGTTCTGGGCCCTCCCTTTGGGGAGGGTAGGAAGATGGTGATGGTGAGCTTATGTCTCAAGAGCTCTGGGTCTAAAAGGGACACAGGGACCTTTCCCAGGAGCCCACTGGTGACCACGACTCTTTGACCCCAAACCCTGTCTTGACAGGGATGCAGAGGAAAAGAGCAAGGCTCAAAAGAAGGGCATTCCTATAACCAGGGCCTGGCTTCTGCAACTTCTCCTTCTGGCTGACCCCTCTTCAGGAGCTCCAGGGGAAGAAAGGACCAGACCCTCAGCTAGCCAGGGCAGTGTCCTGTAGGCATCTGGGCTCACCCCTGGATGTGATTTCTCTTCTCTCTGTCTGCCCATCTTTCAGCTGCTGGGATATGAATGACAGCACAGCTCTGTGGTGGGTGATCAAAGGCCCTGTGGTTGGCTCGATAATGGTGAGTGTCCTTGGGACAAAGAGGAAGAGAAGAGACAGGGCCTGGGCGGAATGGCACATGAACAAGAAGGGGACATGAAAGAGTCACTGAACAAACTGGCCTTCTTCTTTGTTGTGACTGTATTATATTCCATAGCACAGACACACAAATTATTTAGCTGTTCCCCTAGGGGTGGATGTGTATCTTACTACGTTTTCTTCATTATAAAAGATGCTACTAGAATAGTTTTGTGCATAATTTTAAACATTTGCAAATATTTCTTTAGAATACATCTCTAAACATGGGAGGAATAGGTCAAAAAGGGTATACATCTAAAATTTTTAGGTCCCAAATTGTTTTGCAAAATTCCTTTAGCAATTCATACTTCCTCTGGAAGGGTGGTGCATTTCCCCAATATCAATCATCTAAATTTTTACATATTCTTATGGAGGATAATAGTAATTTCACAAACATTTCTCCATATTGTTAGCTAATTGACCAGTTTTTCTGAACATTTAATGATATTTTTTTTTTCAATTCTGAATATTCCCATCTATCTCTTTTGCCCAGTTTTCTATCAGATTATATTTATTACAGTGAAGGATAATAACCCTTCATTTGTTATATGTATTGTGTTTCTAAGACAGCATAGCTGTTCTGCAGTGGAATCCTCCGGCTTTATAAATTCTGAGCCCTACTTCTTGTTTATAGAGTTCTTTCCTAACCTAAGATATAAAAATACGCCTCTTCCTTGTTTCGTAATACTTTTGTGAATTGTACTGTTATGTATACACCTTTAATCCAGCTGAAATTTAATTTTTTGTCTGGCCTGAAATGATATTTAATTTTATCTTTCTAATGGATGTACATTCCACATTCTCAATTCTTTTTATTGCATCCTTTTTATTGAAATGTTATTTTTGGATCCAGACTTTCACTTTTATGCTGCTAATCTATTTGTCTATTCCCTAGGCAGATTCCCCATTTTCCTAGTTACTGAGACCTTGTAGCATGCTTTGGCATTTGATGTGCAGATTTCTCCTCTTATTTTGTTTTTCTTCAAAAATTCCTTGCCCATTTACTCTTCAGGTGGACTTTTGAATATCCTTGTCAAGTTGCAAAATTGTAAAATTAAAAAAAAGTATGTTTGAGATCGTGTAGGAATCATACTGAATTTATAGGCTAATTTGGAGAACTGGTTTGCTTAAATGGTGGAGTCTTTCTCTCCAAGAGTGTGACATGATTCTCCACCTATTCAGTCCTCGTTACAGAGTTATTCTGGTAAACTTTTTTAGATTTCTTTCTTGTTGTAATGTTCACCTCTAAGGTGTTTCCCATTTTGGCCTTTTATTGGATCTAGGAATCATTCTTTCTTTCTACTTTCTGATGGGTTACTGGTGGAGTGTAGGGAAGCTCTTGTCTTTTGTGCATTTTTTTTTAGTTACATTTATGAACTCTTTTATTAGTTCTTGTCCCTTTTCTGTTGGTTCACGTGAATTTTCTAGGTAGAAATTACATGATCTGCAAATGAAAATAGTTTTTGTCCTTCTTTTTCAGTATGTGTCCCTTTTATTCCTTGTTTCTGTACAGGGTGATGTTTTCTCTAGCTTTTGGCAATTACCCTGCATGGAACTGGAGAAGTTTCTCTTCCTGGCTTGTTTTAGTATGAATATCTTGTTTTCATATCTCAAGCATGGATATTGAATTTTATCAAATGCATTTTGGAGATACTGAAGTGATCACAATCTAACTTCATTATGAACAAGTAATATATATTTGTGCCTTTCTTTGAACATATGTGAATATTTCTTTAGAGTAAATCTCTAGGAGAGAATTCCTGGGACAAAGATATGTGCATTGTACATTTTCATAGATAGCAAAAATTGCCCTCTATGAGCAAGGTATCATTTCTGATATTTCCCCTATCTTTGCTGATGTTTCTGTGACCAACTCATTCACCAGTCTTTAGGGATTTAATGGAAGCTTATTGCAATCTGTTGTCATAACAAATATTAGGTTTATTTTTGCATTTCTAGTTTGAAACCTTTGTGGTCATGATCAGTTTGTTCGTTGAATACACTGCTAAATTCTCTTTATTAATATTTGTTTAAACTTTTTGCCTTGCTCTCTGTGGTCTTCTATGTCTATGTGACTGTGAAAGTGTTTTCTGTATTCGCCTGGCTTTTGTAGCAGGATTTCGTTAACTTTGTAGGTAATCTATGAGGTTTTATTTGCTTTAAAACAAAAAAGTAGCATGTCAATTACATGTTCCTTAGAAGTTCATAAAAATCATCTGGGCCTAATGTCTTTGAATGCAGACACCTTGACTACTTTTTAAATTTCTTCTGAGATGATTACTCAGATTTCTCTACCTCTTCTTGAGTTGTGTTTGTTAATTTTTATTTTCCCATTTTGTTGGGTATTTTCTCACGATTTAAAATATTCTGCCCATCTTGTCTTGTCCTCTTTCTCACGCCTAAATTGGTCTAACTGTAGTTTCTCCTTTTGGATTGATGAACACATGCAGTTAGAGGTGTTTGCTGAGCTAATTCCAGGCACTGATTAGACAGCAGGCATGGAGCAGAGAACAAGGTGGACAGAGTGTGGTGTGTGCTTCGTCATTCCAGTTGATCTATAAAAACAAAGAAGACAAAAACAAAAATAAATTGTCATTTTTGTCGATCAAATCTCCTATTTTTTTTTCTATTTTCTTTCTTATGTCTTTTGCCTATATAAAATGCCTTCTTCTATAAGTTCCATTTGAGGTAATCTTTTCTTAGTTTTTTTTTTTCTTTTGATTTGAAGGCCTAATTAGTTTTCAGTAATTATGATTTTTTTTTTTTTAAATAGACTAACTTGAGGCTCTCTGTTTTTTCTTCCAAGGCTGCTTTGGCTATCTCCAAGACATCCCTGAACAGTTCTCATTTATTTATTTGCTCTCCTTCCTCCTCCTTTCTCACATACACACAGCTTCCCACTTTGTTTAGAAAGCATCTGTCAAAGATCTTTATCTGATGGCAAATACTGCTATTGCTGTTCCCAGGCAGTCCTGTAATTAGCAAGGCTTGTGGCCACACAGATTCCCTGCCGCAGTCTGGCTGGGCACACAATCACGAGCCACCACACAGCTTGTAGATTCAAACAGCAACTCTTTATTCCCGAACTCACACTAGCCGTCTACAATCACGTTCTGGGGAAATCCACGTTCTCTGCCCAAATCCACGTTCTCTGCCCAAAATCACCTCCACTGGGCATCTGTCTCCCAAAAAATACTGTCTAAATCCCGTGAGAACTCAAGGGGAACTCAGGCAGCAGGATACGCCCTATTCCCAGCAGGAATAATCTTAAACCTTAAACCTGGAACCTAAACCGGGAACGCCCTAATCCGCCTTGGTCCTTGAGCAAGGTCACCTACATTCAATGTCACTGCAACATGGGGTACGCTGGCAAGGAAATTGTCATACCTACTTGGCTAATGGCTCCCAGCAATTCCCCATATTCCATGACGCTCATCTTGGAGTTTTTCCAGGGAAGAGCTCTGGCCTCTGCAGTTGACTCTTCTCTCTTAAGTTGTAGCTTTCCCACCAGCCTGGTCCTACTTTCTTTTTCTCTTCTAGGGATGACTCATTTTCTCCACTTACTCATGATACCCTTCCCTGTTTTCCAGGACTCCTATGGAATTCTGTTTCTCACATCTCTTCTTCCAATACAGTGATACTGTGGTGGGTAGGAGCTACATTAGCGCTCTCCTACCGCCATCTTGGATTAGAAGTCTAGAGGGGATCTCGACTAGCTGGGGAAGGTACCCATGGGGAACAGGAGCCTTTACAGGGGCAGGAGTGCACAAAGTCTTTGCCCAGAGTCATGTCTGTCTGCCTTTTCTTTGGCCCTCAGGTTAACTTTGTGCTTTTCATCGGCATCATCGTCATCCTGGTGCAGAAGCTGCAATCTCCAGACATGGGAGGCAACGAGTCCAGCATCTACTTGTAAGTACCACCATGTGGATGCCACGGCCATTTGCAACAGCCACACAGGCCCGGCGCTCAGGTCACCAGCAGGAGAAGGCTTGGGCTTTGCTGATAGGGTTATATGATAATGGGCATTGGCAAAATTTCTTCCTGAATGAAATATAGCCTTTAAAACATAGTTGCCCTCCCTCCTGGGCTTCAGCCAACCCAGGAGCTCCTAACTTGCATGCCATTACACATAAGGAAAAAAAAAAAAGAGAGTGACAGAACCTATGTGACACTAGAAAAATCAAAGTGGAGAACACCAGATTCCCTAAGGTAGTTCAGGACTTGGTTGTTCAGAAGCTGGGTTTCCCGTGGGGATGCTGGTTCTGTGGGAAACCTGTGAGCGCATTGGATAGGCCCAACCCCCAGGACAACATGTAGAACTTGCTCAGCGTGCCTGGTGACACAGGTGGTCATTCTCACTGGCCTGGGTGTGGGAAGGGGGGTTCTTTCTCTCAGGGCAGCTCTGCCTCTGCATCTCCCTGATCCTTCTTCCTCAGTTCCCTCCTTCCTGAGAAGAGGAACGTCTGATTGCTTTCTGTGTTTGGGGTTCACGTACTACCTCTTTCCATTGAGTCCAAGACTTGCTCTACTTTCATGGCCGTTTGGCTTCCTACAGCTATTTTTGTGTCATGTCCCTGAGAGCATCTTCCCGCTGGCTCTCCCAGCCTTGCTCTATCTGAACTCAGACTCGGCATCTGCCCCCTCACCCTTCTGGCCTTGTGAGTGGAGCGGGACCAGCTGGGGCTCTGAGGTGGGTGGGTGGGGCATTTCCATGCTGAAGAGAAAGGTTGGTGATCCCCTGCGGTTGACTCGGGGACACAGTTGAGGCCAAGGGTGTTGCTTCCTCAGTTCCTTTCGAAAAGAGCAGGTTAGAAAGAGCTGCGGCCATCATTGGTCCTACCTTCACCAGAGACCCCAGCCTCAGATCACAACCTTGACCCCGCACAGGGGAAAGAGAGGAGCAGGGAGGGCTCCATAGCACCCGCATTCTCCTGGAGAGAGGCAGAGGGAGGGACTGCTCAGAGGCCAAGTCCCAGATCCTTCTTGAAGGTTCCTTGGGGGCTTCGTGGGAGGCTTGTGTGTCTATCCACCCTAGTATTTCCTCTTGGAGAAGCCCTTTCCATGGGGGCTGGGGACTAGCCCAGGGCCTGGGTGATTTACCGTATTTTCTTTGCCGGTATGATGATCACATCACATTGGAAAAGAAACTTTTATTTTCCTGTCCATTTACTGTCAGTTTTTTTTATAAGTTTTTGCCAGCTCTTACTTACATGTGTCTATTATATAGTGGAAAATTATTCGTTGATAAAAGCCATAAAGTCTGCTAGGGCCAGCCCTCTGCCACTACCCAACCTGCCCTAGAGACATCCTTCCGACTTTTATCTTAGGAGTCTCAAAATAGGGCCCTGCTCCTCCCCTCACCTCCCTGTGGTGTTGGAAACCATGCCCTTGTGTGGCCTCAGTTTCTCCTGCTTGGTTGGGAATTGGTTCACCTACTAACATTTACGTCTGGTATTTGAAACCCAAAGTAGCTGGGCCGGTAGTTAAGTTAGCTTCATTCCCATTTGAGCAAGAGCAGCTTCATCTCTTCCCCTTTCTGGTAGGATCTGTTTCTTCTTCTAAGGCCCCTGGGACCTCTTCTTTGCAGGCCAGGGGTGGGGGTCCTTCCAGCTTCCCCTCACTCTGCCCGTGCAGGGATACCCACAGAGGCTGCTTGGTTCCAGCTGCTCAGCCTAAGCAAGGATGCTCCAAACCCTGGCTGACTCAGACATCCTGCCCCAGGCAACAAGAGCCCCCAGGGTCAGATGGGAAAGAATCGTGGGCCTGGGTTTCAAATTGTCCACACTGTAGGCGCTGTGGAGCCCTGTCCTAGCACAAATGCATAGGTGAGAACCACTTGTCATTAGCACATGGCTTATCCATTTAAGTGTTGATCCAAGACATTTGAAGAGACAGCTAGTTGGTTTCCTTCTCTAAAAGCATCTCCTTGCCTACTCAATAAATCCTTTTTTTAGAGAAAGCCAAACCTCTGCTAGTTTCAAGCCCGGAAGATGAAAACCTCAGGGCTGTGAACCAGGTGGGTGGGCTGATGGTAGACAAGGAATCTGTTTGATCCCATTGACATCAGCCACGTGTTGGAGTGTTCCCAGGGTCGAGGATACCCTTTCCATGAACATGAGCAATAACCCAGTGACAATGCTGCTAAGAACTGCAGAGCACTTAAAGCACTTGCAGGTTGGCCTGTGCACATTTCATGCTCACAAACACCCAGCGCATCTGGCGGGCTAGGTAAGCAATTCCCCACCTTAGAGCTGAGGGGATTAGTTCCGAGTGCGATGAGTCCTGCAGGAGAGAGCCAAGGTGTAGCTACAGTGCAGGGGGTGGGGGGCCTTCCTCCAGGCTATTCTTATCCTTGATTGGCAGCCGGCAGGTGGTGTCCAACTAACTGATAGAATGAGGTTTCCTGGATGAAGTGGCTCCTAATGGGCTCCAGCCTTGCGTAAAATTGTCCCCAGCCTAGAGGGTGTGGAAGAGGGGCTGGCTGTGAGCAGGGAGGTGTGTGCATGGGGAGGAGGGGAAAAGCTTGGGGGGAAGGTGGAGAAGACCGGGCTTGGTGGGAGAGGGAGAGGCCAGGACTGTGCCCCATCCTCTGGGGCACCAGAAGTATATGCTGGGCTGCAAAGCCTCTTCATATCTGCCCACAACAGCTCTCTGGTTTTTTTCCTCTGTTTCCAGAACAAATTTAAGCCTGGGAGTCCCCAAGAAAACCCGAGAGGACCCCCTGCCTGTGCCCTCAGACCAGCATTCACTCCCTTTCCTGTAGGTTGGTTCCAGCTGCTCAGATGATAAAGGGTTTTCCTACGTAGACCAAGACGGCGCTCCTGACCCAGCCTCAGAAGGACCTGTTGGGGTGTGGGGCCCCTGCAGGGGCCAGTGGCGCTGAGCCACCCACACTCCTACCTGATGCTCCTGGTAGAATGAATGGCTGGAATCAGAGTTTGGCAATGGCCAGGGATGGAGTCAGGGCCTGGGTCAGGGCTCAGCATGGGTCCACAATTGGCTTGGTCTCAGACCGGAGTTAGGGCTGAGCATTAAAGTTAGGGCTGAGCATTCCGCCAGCAGGGTCAGCCTGCCTTTGGTTGCAGATCTGAGTTTACCTGGTTCCAGAAAGGGAGGGGTGAGGTTTCCAAGGCAGACACCTTCTGTACAGAAAGAGCCTCAGGACCCCGCTCTGGCATGGCTTGGCTTCATTCCTAGTCACCTCTAGCCAGAAGATGGGGACTGGAAGCTGCATTTTGGGTATAGGGTAGGGTGGGAAAGCTTATGTGCACCCCTCTTGGGGCTTCCTCAGCCCCATCAGGGCAGACGGTGTGCCCCTCCCAAGATCGGTCCTGCTGTGTCAAGGCCGCTGTGCAGCCAGGGGCTCAGCCCAGGGCCTTAGCCACAGCCAGAGGCTTCTGGTTCACGTGAGGCTCCATCTTCCACTCCAGAATGCCCCTGCCCTGCCCTGCCTGGGAGTGTCCCCTCCTCACCGTTCTGCTAGAGGCTGATCAGCAGGGAATTGTTACCCTCATTTTGCAGAAACTGATTCCTTAAGAAGGAATATGATATAACTTGAGTCACCCAACACATCAGTGGCTGAACAAAGCTTTGAGCTTGAGTGCCCGACTCCTCATCTAACACCTCTCCATGCTGGCAGGGAGCACAGAGAAAAGGGGAGACATGGTGTTGAGCAGGAAAGCTTCCAAAATCTGCAGAGCTGGGGTGCTGGTGTGCTGGGGAGCACTTCCTTGGGCATGGGCAGGGTGCTGGTGTACATAGCACCTTAGCATCAGAAGAGACCCACTGAGGCACGTCTGGCTCAGACCACCACATTCCGAAGCCTCCCAAGGGCCCAGCACCACATTGATCTCTAGGACCACAGAGGTGAAGAAGATGGGGGTTCTGCCTGCAAAGGTTCTCCACAGACGTCTCTGTCTAGCAACCTGGGTGTTTTCTGGGGCTGCAGTCCAACCAGCCTCTAAACAAAGACCGTTGAAATGCTCTTGGAGTTTGGCTACTGTAGACACCTTTTGCTGGATCCTTGAGTTCTGAGACCAGAGATGGCTTTGACCTTCCAGAGACACAGCAAAGCCATGGCAGAGTCAGGTCCGGAAGCCAAGGGCCCCCTGACTTGCAGAGTGGGTCCTGTACCTACAGCCGGGGCCTCCTGCCTTCTGATTCGGGCAGCTGTTGCTCTCCAGGCAGCCCCATCCAGCACCCTCATCTGAGTTTCTGGTCCTCCCTTGGAGCCAACTTGGAACTGATCTCATCAGTCCGCCTAGCCTTATCTCTTCCTTCTAATGAAATTCCTTTTCCCTTTTTACTAATTGTCCTGAGATTCTGCCTTCTCTTTCTTTCTCACGCTCCTAACTCTGGCCAGCCTGCCGCAGTCTTGTTTTTCTTCTTTTCAGTAAGTTCGTTTGCACAGTCCTTGAAGGTCTGGGGAAGGACATATTTGGGGAAAGGGGCCTTTCCCCTTTTTCCTAGATCCATCTCCCCTGAGATGCCTCCAACCCCCCTTTACTGCTCATCCATCTGTCCTCCTCTTCCCCTATCACGCGCTGCGTCCCAGCTAACTTGTCACATAATAGTCTTTAGATTACATTTTAAAAGTCTTGGAAATAATCAGAGGATGCCATGTTTACTGTAGAAATATCTGGAGTCCAGGAAGATCAGGGACACTTTGGAGCTAAACATAGAGGGATCTCAGAGAACGGCCAAAGCTTAGAATTCAGGGTGATGGCGTTGGCGCAGGCTCTGCTGCTGTGGGTAGGTCTCTGGCTTCTGACCTTGGTTTCTGGGCCATTTAGGGGAGACCAGGGCATCTAGGGGAGACCAGTCAGCCTTTCAGTCCATGCAAGGGAGATAATAAGGATAGAATGAATAACTACCATTCCTGTATGACCTAATGAGCCCTTTTAATTATTGAGAAAAAAGTCCTTATTTACATCTGTGTGTCTTCTTGTATATTTGTAATGGAGACTTTGGGCATTCATTGAGGACACATGAAAAACTTAGATGCATGAATAGCTGGGAACTCTAATTAAAAAGCAGATCCTGAGTCAAGCAGGCCAGGGTGGCCCCAAGAGTCTGCCATTTCTAAGAAGTTCTTAGGTGGATCCTGTTGCTGCTGGTCTGGGGAAAGCAAAGCATCAAACCATACCACACATTTCTCTTCTGCAAAAATGGGCTCACAGTACCCACCTTGCAAGTAATGAGAACAGAAAGGGGCCATTTATAAAATGAGAACCACAAACCCACAGAGGCACAGCACAGATGCTGGGCAGGCTGGGGTTGGTCTCATCTTTGAAGCATATGATACACATTTTTTTAAAAAATTTGTTCTTTTTAGATACACATGACAGTAGAGTATATTTTAACATATTACACATACATGGAGTATAACTCATTATACTAATTAGTATCCCATTCTTGTGGTTGTACAAGGTGTGGAGTTATACTGGTTGTATATTCATTTATGAATAGAGGAAAGTTACGTCTGATTCATTCTACCATCTTTCCTATTACCATCCTCCCCGCTTCCCTTCATTCCCCTTTTTCTAATCCAATGAACTTCTACCCCCCACCCCATTGTGTGTTAGCATCCGCATATTGGAGAGAACATTTGGCCTTTGGTTTTTGGGGGATTAGCTTACTTAGCATGATAGTCTCCAGTTCCTTCTACTTACCAGCAAATGCCATAATTTCATTTTTCTTTATGGCTGAGTAATATTCCATCAGAAGTGCATGATACACATTCTTCCCTCAGCAGAATGACATGTCCCCACATGTCACGTGCCTTCGGACTTATACTCAAAGAGGTGGAGTCAAAAAGAGCATATCTATAAATGCCAAGGATCTAACCTCTCCCAAATATCTGTCTTCATGGACATCTGATTCATGTTTAATATATCAGTTCACCAGCCAGTACTAGGAGTCTCAAGGCCACATGTGTGGCCCCTGAGAAGGGCTTTGAAGGAGCTGCTCCTATGTGTGAGATGATGCAGCTGTTGACCCATCTTGAGAGGAGAACAAATGTCCACAGCTTGTGCCCACTCAAGCATGAACAGGAAGGAATGAAAGAGATGGAGTATGTATACCCTGAGGCTTGTGCCTACCCAGCAGGCTATAGAGCTAGACTTCTTAAAGTCACCTGTTTCTGCAGGACATGGGGCAGTGCTCCAAAGCTATTCTCTCAGTCTTCAGCACCTGCCCACTGAATTCCCAGCACTATCCATTACTCTCCACAGCAAGGGAAATGCCTGGCACCTATGCTGTTTGCATGGTCACCCCTGGCTACATGTGGCCCTTGAGCTTTTATGATATGGCTAGGACAACTGAGGAGGTAGATTTTTAATTTGATTTCATTTTAATTGATTTTAATCCAAATAGCCGCATATGGGTAGTGACTCTCAGAGTGGACAGTGCAAGTCCAGACTAGACCGATGAGCGGTGCTTTCAGACTGACCATGGTCTTCTGTAGATAGCACTCTTGACACTGAGAGAAAGGCCAGCCTGGGCTGGAGGAGAGAGGGATAGAGGGGATGACCAGAGGACACCTAAAGTGACACACACAACCGAGCTCAGAGCTCACTCTGCCCAGACCAGGCAGCGTGTGATGAGGTCTGTGGTGTGAGTTTCCAGCTGTCTGTCTCACTGAGTGACCTGCAGCAAGACAGTGTGCTGAGCTTGGAGCTGAGCCTTGGGCTCCCTGCCTCGGCCCCAGCCCACGTCCAACCTTCTGAACACACACCTTCCCCCTAATATCATCGACCCAATGGTGGTCCTAGTGAGTGCTTACGGGTGTGTGTGCAACTAAGCACACACCTACACATGTGGACATGCCTTTCTTTGTCCAGAGCCGACTGAGTCTTGGCCCTCAGCCTCCTTGTTCTCCTCCTCATGAATGTCCTGGCCCTGCCTCCACTCCCCTGTTCCTCTGCCCACCCTCCTTAAGTCCTGCCTCAGTTTCTTCCTTGCCCATGTCCCCAGCTGACAGAAGTGCTAATCTTGTCACACCCAGCAGCTGCGTGCAGAAATGCTACTGCAAGCCACAGCGGGCTCAGCAGCACTCTTGCAAGATGTCAGAACTGTCCACCATTACTCTGTAAGTGTGCGTGGCCGTGGCTGTGGCCGGGTGTCCTGGAGGGGAGGGGGACGCATGCTGCCACTGCCTCGAGCTTGCGTCTCAGCGGGCTGGAGAGTGGAGAGCCACCTTGTGCTTCCCAGCCTGGCCCTGATCCCCGGCTGTTGCATGTTGACGTCTGTCCCCGTGTCTTGTGAGTTCTCTGTACTCTTGTGGTCCTGGGGCGGGAAGGCAAGGTGTGGGGATGGAGCTGCAGTATGGTAGCAGCATCCTGGGGGCTTGGCTGGTGCTGAGGAGGAAGCTCTGCAGTCTTGGTTGCTGCCTTGAGTGTGACCTTTCCCCAAATCCCCCACTTCTCTGGGCTTCAGTCTTTGCAATTGCAAAATTATTTCTAATAAGGGTGAGAAATTTAGTTTATCGAGGCCAAACTCCTGCACACAGGAGGGGACCCTCACTCCAATATTCAGAGCACTCGATGTACAAGTTGGTAGCAAGTCATTTGTTTCGGCAGCCACTCTATGAGGTGGGTCCTTGTATTGTCCCCATTTTACAGATGAGAAAACTGAAGCACAGAGAGGTGAAGTGACTCACTCGAGGCCACTTTATTGGCAGGGTGAGGATTTGAACCCAGGATTTGAACACCGTGCTTAGGTTGACTCTGACCAGGTCAGCCTCAATTTGGATGTCCACGTGGACTAGGGGTGTCACTGCCTCCTTGGCAGCCCCTTGTCGTTGATGCAGCTCCAATCACTGGAGGCTCTTCTTGGCATTTTAGGATTCTTCTGACTATTGAAGTCTTCTCAGGGCAGTAGGACAGAGGGCTACACCCTGTGTCACTGTCTCTCTGGGTGATCAGATCATAGTGTGAGGCTCACATCCTAAGTTCCCATTGTAGGGCCTCCAGGCAGGTCAGAGGTCCACAAGCCCCACCTCCCTGAGCTTTAGAGGTCTTCTCCTCTGTCCTCAGTGCCCTGTCCGCCAAAGGGGCCCCTGCAGCCACCTGGGTCCCTGCCTAAAGTCCCTGATTTTGCTGAGGCTGCTGCAGGGTGCTGGGGAGGGAAGCTGCCCATGGCCTATCCATGGGATACCCTTGGTGCAGCCACCACTTCTGTTCTGGGCCTGGGAAGAGCCTGAGCCCCTGCATGAAATATTGCTGTTTCTCCCACTATGAACCCAACACATCTCATGCCACCATTGACACTGGAGAGGTTTGACGTCTTGGTTTCCAGGGCTCTTTTCAGATGATAATGCCAAGTTCCTGGAAACTGTCCATTTGCAGGACAGGAAGACAGGAGGGAGGGAGGCAGGCACCCCAGTCCTGTTTCAGGGCAGCCTCCCTTCTTGAGCTCCTTCAACAGGCGTGTGTTTTAAAGTGAGCTTGTTAGGCAGGACCAGAGTGAAGCCCCCGGGGGGCCTCACATTGCATTTCCAGCCCCTTTCCTTGGCTCTTCTTAATCTGTCACCCTCTGCTGCCTTCTGGTTCCAGACTCTGGGCACCCAGAGATGAGCAGCACCCACGTGCCCAGATGTCTCACTTTAAGGACTCCGGGCTCTTGTGCCTGTGTGGTCCATGGATTCCTCCTTGGAGCAGGCATTTCTGGGCATCAGGTCCAAGCCCAGAGGTGCTTGCTGCAGGGTATAACAAACGAGCCTCTCTCCCTTCTTCAGTGGGCACCATCAGAGATGGGCAGATAAGAGAAAGGCTGAGAGAACAGGCTACTCAGGGCTGCATCTGGACTCCCAGCAGGGACTGCTCAGCTCCTGTTGGCCCTGCTCTGGTCTAAGGACCCTCAGGGCCTGCAGAAAAGGCTGTGAGCAGGGAGGAGGTTGGCCACACTCCAGCAGCCTCTTCCCCTCTGGGCTGAGTTTCCTCTTCCTGTAGGTCTTCTCAGGCCGCTCCTCCTCCTCCCTCCCTCTGTCTCTTCCTCTTCCTTGCCTGCCTTCTCCTTCCTGCCTTCTCCAAGATACCAAGACCTTGCACAGATCTCCTGGTTTCAATTTTCTAGAAGTTTGGAGCCTCCACATTCAATAAAATGTTCTTTCCTACAAAGTCTGGGATGTGGAGAAAGGAGAAGCACAGAGTACAATCGCCCCATATCAAATAGGCACCCTAAACTTCATGTCCACTTTTGTGAACCATTGTCTGTGGGGAGAGCATGGTCTGACCCTCCAGAGAGCCAGGTTGGGTACAGCTGAGGGACAGAACACATCTGCAGGACAGGACTGGGCTCTTTGGGGAGGCCCACAGGGAGCCAGTAATCTGGAGCAGGTGGAGATGGGGTCCTGGGAGCTCCTGGGAGAGTTTCCTCCCTAGAGAACACAGCTGCCTGGTGTCCCCATCCTGGGTCTCTAAGCCTCTGCACCCTTAGAACAGGGCACCACCCCACTCTTGACCTGAGAGCCAGTGGGGGGCTGAGAGTCAGAGAGAGAGTGGGCCACACATCTGGTGGCTCCCCTGTCTGTCCCACCTTGGAGCCAAGATCGTTCTCTCCCCTTTACCCAGTTTCCTGGGCAGAAGCTTCTTCCTGCCTGGGTAGAGATGGTTTATGCCCAGAGTCTGTAGGTCCTTCCTAGAATCCAGCCGTGGTCCAGCCAGTGCCCTCCCTCCCTGTGTTCAGCAATCCTGTTACTTTCTGGGAATGTCCTCCACTCACCTCAGACTCAGAAACACAGAAACTCTGTGGCCTTCAGGAGCAACTTTTGTGGCACATAGAATTTCCTTCCAGAACAGGAGAAGCTTTGCTTTGCCTCCAGCCTCCTGAATACCAGTCCTGTGTTTTGCTCTGAATTTATTTACCCCCAAGGGTTTTACACATTGCTCAGGGGGGTCCTATAAATAGTATGTACATTTTTAGTGGCTCTGCAGGATGCTGACTGGGTGCCTTGCAGACTGGGGAAGCCCCGCCCCACAATAGCTCAGGGAGTCCTGGAAGCCTGGGCCCTGGTCAGTTCCCTTCTTTCCCAGGTCCCTTGCACTGACGTAATGTTGAGCAGAACTGTTGACAGGGACCTGGGGGAGAGCCAGGGGCTGGGACTGGATCCTCTGTGGCTCTGGTCCCAAGACCTGGCAGCCTCTGGAGCACATGTGCTACTTTCTCTCTACAGACGGCTGGCCCGGTCCACCCTGCTGCTCATCCCGCTGTTTGGAATCCACTACACTGTATTCGCCTTCTCCCCAGAGAACGTCAGCAAGAGGGAAAGACTCGTGTTTGAGCTGGGGCTGGGCTCCTTCCAGGTAAGGCATGGCACAATTGGAGGGAAGAATTCCCCAGAACCAGGGGTAGTTCTGGAACCTCTTTACCTCACTCCAGGTCTCAGTGTTTCTGTCTCTGAAATAAGTACTAGAAGAGAAGCACTCTGTGAAAGCTCTGTCGGTCGTCTGCTCTGGGAAGACACACCAATATCTATGCATCACTATGACTGAGCTTCCTGTGCCACGCCCCTTGGGCAATCTGAGATGACAGTTGTCCATCAGCCTGGGCTGCAGGGTGGATGGCTTTGAGAGCCCTGTGTGTCCACATACTGATTTCAGCCTTCTAATCCTGCACCCCTGCAGGGCTGGAGTTCTGTCTTACTCGAGTCAGGGTCCCTGGCACAGGAGTCCCCAGCATAGGACCTGGCCTCAGGAGCTGAGTGAGCTTGGCAAGGACATGAGCAAATAGATGCATACCCAAATAAGCCAGGAGATGCGGGGAGCCGTGGAGTAATGAGTCCACATGGGGAGGGATGAATGATGGGACTGTGAGTCCTGGTGTGCGTGGGCAGTAACAGTGGGTTCATAGGGGAGAGATGGCTCCCTGGGGTGTGCTGGGTAGAGTGTCTGTCCCTGAGCCATCTGCTTAATATAGCATTTGAGCTTGATGGTCAGGACATTATTCTGGAAATCTGACTGGTGTCTTGCATTCTAATTCAAGGCCACTTTACCTGGCTCAGCTTCTGAACCTGCTCAGACTGGGAAAGATTTTTATAGAGCAAGTTCTGAACCAGGAATTAGAACCCAGGGCTCCCATGTTTGGACTTGCTGATGTATTCCAGTCATTATTCTGCTGACACCTTCAAATGATAACCTAGGGCACAGGGATTGCAAGAAATTTGTTGGCAGCATTCAGGAGAATGTTCTCGCTTTGTTTGGTGTACATGTAGAGTGGCTAAACCCATGCTCCATGCCAAGGACTGACTTTACATGGTATTTGGCTTCGCTGTGATAAGGGTGGAGGGTGGAGGGAGAGTGGGGAGACAATAATAGTTAAAGAAAACATGCTTCTGTTGAATCCTGGAGGGCTCCTGTCTCGGGAGCCTGCCATCCAGTTGGAGAGCCCAGAGAACATTCTGGGGCATTCAGGGAAGTGGGATACAGCCTGTAATCACAGTGGCTCAAGAGGCAGAGGCAGGAAGATTGCAGGTTCAAAGCCAGCCTCAGCCACTTAGTGAGGCCCTAAGCAATTTGGCAAGACCCTGTCCTGTCTCAAAATAAAAAAAAGGGATGGGGATGCAGCTCATTGATAACTCATCCCTTGGTTCAATACCCAGTCCCACCAAAAAAAAAAAAAAAAAAAGGCAAAAAGGCATTGGGAAGGGTTTTACCAAGGGCACATGGGATTCGAGGTCTGGGTGTATTGGTGGGTTCTGGCCCACCAGCCACCTGGCTTCCTGACTGCCCATCTTGGTGGAGCAGAACACATCTGTCTCATCCCAGAGCCTTGGGCAGGGTCCCCTATCCAGATTTTGGCATTTTTCTGCTTCCTGTTGTCATGCTGTCACCCCTGCCCTCCCCCACACCCCCTGCATATGGCATTCTGAGGTTTATTTCTCCTCTTTCCCCAGGGCTTTGTGGTGGCCATTCTCTACTGTTTTCTGAATGGAGAGGTAAGACCCTGGCCATTTGGCTTCTCACTAGTGGAAGTGGAGTTTGCTGGGGAGCAAACACCAGGATAGATCCCCCTGACAAGAGTTTTGTTAGGCTCTCAGCACCTAGGGGAGGAGCTGGTCACACAGCTGCAAGTGTCCTGTCTTGTCAGGGTCTCCTGACAGCTTCCACCTGGGCCAGGATCTTTCCTACTTTGCTGCTGAGGCCCACCCTGAGCACAGAGCTCCACCCAAAGGAAGACAGCAGCTCTGCTGAGTCCAGAGCTCCTGCACGTGGTGAGGAAGCTCAGTGAGGAGGAGGTGACAGCGAGGCAGGGCAGGGCACAGGCCCAGGAACCACAGGTCAGGAGGCTGTGATGGGCAAGACTGCTAGACCAGGAGCTGTCCAGCATTCAGCGCTGCCCCCAGCAGGCTCCCCTGCTTCACCCAAATCCATCCCCTGGTAGAGCAAGGAATGTGAGGATTTGGAAGAGACCTCAGGGAGAGACCTGGAACCTTCCAGTAATGCTCCACTTGCAGAGCTCACCTGTGGGGTGATGCTTTTGAGGAGAGCCCAGACAGGTGCTGGGATGGGGCCCGGGGCTGGATGCGTGGGATGGGTTTGGAGAGGGAGCAACAGTGCTCTCTGTGAGACCTTGACCTCAGCAGGCTCTTCCCCTATTTGCATCTGGGAAACAAAAAGATTGGGCTCAGCCATCACTGGAATGACCTAGAGCAAGGGTCAGATTAGAACAGATGAGGAGCAACAGAGAGGGTCCTGAGGAGTGACTGGGAGGGCAGAGACATGGGAGTAGGTGTAGCTTGTCAAGAGCCTGTGGTGGAAGGGGAGCTGGACGTGGAGAGCGGGCGTGTGGGTGCTGCTTCAGTTGGTGCACTGCACAGAGATAACTTGATGACCCCCCCCCCCACTGCCCAGTTGCCGTACTAAGTAAGGGATACATGGGAGTGCATTTGCCAGAGGACTGCTTAGTGGTTCGCAGCCATGCCTGCACACTGCGATCACCTAGGTTGTTGTAAAAGCTACTGCCATCTGGATCTTAGCCAGAGATTGGGATGTAATTATCCATATGGTCTGGGATCTGAGACTTTGAAAACTCCCTGGGTGATTCTCAGGCAGCCCAGTGTGAATGGTCAGCAAGAGTGGGCATCCTTACCCTGATCCATGTGCCCTGAGGGACTGCTTGTTAAAGACCCACCCAGCTCTTTTTGGAGTGGCCCAGAGACAATAGGCAGCTGTCTGAAGGCCTTCCCCAGGCAGTGACTAGGGGGAGGTCTGCAGGGGGTACCAGGAGGAGTGCTGGAGGTGACAGCCTCGGAAGGCCTGCGGTCAGGGTGGGTCCTGGTGCCAGGAGAGGATGTCGCCCAGAGGTAACAGCCCCAGTTGCTCCCTGCAGGTGCAGGCAGAGATCAAGCGGAAATGGCGGAGCTGGAAGGTGAACCGTTACTTCACCATGGACTTCAAGCACAGGCACCCATCCCTGGCCAGCAGTGGAGTGAATGGGGGCACCCAGCTCTCCATCCTGAGCAAGAGCAGCTCCCAGCTCCGCATGTCCAGCCTTCCGGCCGACAACCTGGCCACCTGAGTCCCCCTCCCCTCTTCCTCTCCTCATACACAGGCTGGGGCTGCGGGCAGGGGCTGTGCACGTTCGCGCCTCTTCCCTCCCTTTGGGCAGGCCCTGGGCTGGCAGCTTGGCTCCTCCCCAAGTGGGGAGAAGGTGGTGGGGCGCAGATTGTTATTGCCCCTCCTGTTTTGGTACTGGTCCTGCCCACCATGGTCCCTTGGTCCCTGATTGGACATGTAAATACTCCTTGAATTTGGAAAGTTGTCCCATCTCTTCCCTTCCACCCATGTCCCCGCTCACTTCAGCCAGCCCAGTTCCATTGCACTGCGTCTTGGCCAGCCTCGGTGATGGCCTGAGCCCAGGCACGAGGCCACGTGAGCTGAGGCTGAAGAGACCCTGCTCTGGAGTGGCTGGTCTGATGCCTGCCTCAATAACCCCCTCAGTTTTGACTTCAGATATGGGACCTTTTCTTGTCTGAGCCTAGTCCCTGAGGCTAGCCAGAGGTCCAGCTGGGGTGGCCGGATCCTTCCATGCAGGCCAGCCCCAAGGCTCCCTCATGCTCACCTGGCATCTTGGTGTCCAGGTCCCCAACCTCTGGGTATCAGGGTTGTGGGAAAACTCCACACTCTTTCAATCAGAGACTTCAGTCGGGGGTGGGGTTTGAGGGTCAGGAAAAGTTCTGGTGCTTTTCATTTGATCCAAGAAGAGCTGAGAGCCAGAAATGTGAATATGACTGAAAAGGAGATAGAATGGTTTGGAAGACCCATTCAAGAAGCCTTCCTCCATCTCCATTGTTGGACCCCGACATGAGATAGGCAGGGTTCATCTGGTAGCTCCCCTTCTGCCCTTCCTGTCCCCAGTAGATGTCCCAGAGTCCCTAAGCCCTCCTCCTTCCTTCCCCTTAAGTCAAAGCCCTCCTCCCTACTTTCCCTTAAGTCAAAGCCATGACTAGGTTGAACCAGCCGACTTCCTGTGATGTCAGCAAATCCTGGAGCACCTCACACCTCCAATGTGCCCAAGTCCTGGGCCCAGGGCTCCCCCAGGCCCTGGCTCCATGGGTGACAAAGAGCCCCAGTCACCAGGTCCTCAGACCTGGACTCAACTACTGAACTTTATCTGAGACCTCTGTACTACATCCCCCTATGTGCCCTTGACATTGAATCACTGTGGGCTGCTAGGGAGCTTGAGGGGACACCATGCCTACACACCCATTAGCAGAAGCTATTGGTGGGAGGAGCTGATACCCCCCTGCCTCCCCGCTCCCCCCACCCCAGTGCTCATTCTGGCTTCCCAGCTGCAAATGGCACAGCCACCACCTGCGAATTTCAAATAGGGCAGGACCAGGTTCAGAGAAGGTTGAGGAAAGTGCTAGAGTGCCATGGCCCCGGGGCCCAGTTCATTCCACCTCAGCTCTTGGTCTTGTTCCTGTCTCTGTGTTTGTGGACTTGCTTCCTGACCGTGTTCTGAAATGCTTGGGGGTTTGGGTGGGGGTGGGTGTTGCTTTGTCTTGGTTTCACAAAGAGGAAGGAACCCTGGGGGCCTTGGCAGTGCTTCTGGATACACTTTCAGAGGGACTGGAGAAGGCTCTAGTTGCTCTAATTTGGAGATGAGTCTTGTGTCCTCCACGGGGAAGTAAGTCCCCGGGTCTTTGTCAACCACCCGGAAAGGAACTCTCTGCCCTTTCTCAGCATGTTGAATGACTTGGACTTGCCGTGGGGTGTGCAGTGGTCCCTTCTACCCTGAGCGAGACCTCCGGATCCCCTCACCCTGCTTGGGGAGGCAGGTGCATTGCCCAAGAAGTGTCTACTGATCACCCTGCACTTGGGTCACTGCTGGAGTCCCTGAGTTGCTTGGAAGAAGCCACGGCCTGGGATTCAGAGACCAGGATTCTGCCCCAGCTGGGTTCTCATGGCTGTGACTATGGACGCAATCCTCCCTATTCTGGGCCTCAGTTTCCCCATTCATGAAATGAGATGGCATCTAATGTTTCTCTGGGCCCTGTACTGTTCAGTTTTCCAGTTCAAAACTAAGGCAGGTAAAAGGGCATGCATGCATGATGTGTGTATCATCTGAGGTTTTAAGGAGGGGGGTCTGTAGGTGCGGGAAGAATGCTCCTTTCCCTTTCTTTTGGACACCATGATGGAAGCCAGTAGAATGGAAGGGAGGCTCAGGTCACGGACATTTGAACAGGTGCCTTGGGTGTGATGTGCAGACCAGCGCTCCACCTGGCTTGGGCAGGGTGCTGTGACTAGGTGGCAACCAGATCCAAGGAGCAGTTATATGGACCTCATTCATTTGTCACCACCCTCACCAGCAGCGCTGTGTCACTGTGGAAGAAGAAACTGACTTTATAGCTACATCATTGCGAAACAGCAAAAGCAAGTCAGCCCCGTGTCCCTTGTCCTGCACTACTGCTGAGCCCTGGGCCTCTGTCCTCCTAGAAGTTCCAGGTCCTCTCGGTTTGTTTTCTGTTTGAATGGATTTTTTGCCAGTCTTGTGAGAAGATGTACCTGCTATGTTCTGAATGTTCCAGAAGTTTCTGGTTTAGGGTCATGGGCAGTGGGAGGGTGGCATGAGGCCTGGGACCAGATCTTCTGTTTTCAAATCAGTGGCATGGGCAATAAGACTAGATGATTCTTACGTAGCCCGACACATCCTGGAATTCTCTCTAAATACCAGCCATCTCCTTGGAAGGGGCCCCAAGTAAGGACTGTGTCATTGCCTGGACTCCCAAAAGATAAGGAATCCTGCTGTGTGAAGAGGGGTGGGGACACTTGGGAAATGTTCACCTGGAGAGGAACAGAGTTGTCGGGCTCCATGCCTGCGGGGGTTCATTCCTGGGAAGGGGTTTTTTGTTCTATGCAATTCTAAACCTCACCCATGGGTGGCCAGATTCTTCTCGGGATAGGGAAATCTCACCCCTGACATGACTGTCCAGGTGTGGGACAGGCAGGCAGTGTCAGGAGAGGCACAAATTAGGGAAGCTGAGGCTGCCGTGGTGCCAGTGAAGAGCCAGAGAGTGGAATTTAGGGGTTCCGCAGCCTTGTCACGGTCCCCAGCACTGTGAGCCTTAGGACTCCCATCATACTTGGGGCCAAAATACATTCTCTGTTTCAGTAGGCAGCCCTGTGACCATCTGTGGCATGTCTGTCCTTCTCTAACCCCATCTTCTGTGAGCTGGGTCCTTGGGAAATAAGGCTGGGGAGCCACAGCCTGGCCTGAGGCTGGAAATAGACCTGCATCTGTTATCATATGTCAAGGCCTCTGCTCCTTGATCAGTCCCTCTCTTTTCCTGGAAGAGACTCTCTCTTTAATTCTTTGAGTACCCTTATCCCTTTCAGGGCCGCTCCAGAGTGAAAGTAGTGAGCATTGTGTCGTATGAATCACTTGAGCCCAGGCAGCATGGAAACCAGCTGGAAGAGCCCCAAGCAGGGAGCAGGGACCTGGGCTTCTCCCTGCTTTGCCACTGACCTGCTATTTGACCTTGACTCATTCCCTTGTGGCTTTGGGGAGACACAAAAGACTAGATCCCGGAGAAACTTGGAGATCTACACATCAGCTGTCACCTTCGGACTGATGAGGAAACAAGTGGGCCAGGAATAAATCTGAACGAGGAAATGGCCCCAGCAGTACGTACACCTCCCTGCGCATGAGCCAGAACGTGGTGCTCAAAGCATCTACATCTAATAAACACTTGGCCTTGTGTAGCAGAGGGGCTCTGGCTACTGAAAGCTATTTAGGACTCCAGACTGCAGGAGAAGCAGTGGAGTTGACCTGCTGGGCTTCACCACCTGCTCTGTGAGACCATCTCCAAGCCTCTGCCCTCTAATCTGAGAAATGGACGGTTGTGATCGGATCATCTGCTGCACAGGCCAGGGATGAGGTTGAAGTGAGAGACCCTCTGCGTGTGAAGGAACTTTGGAAATGACACAAATTTGGTCTCATTACTGGAGTGAGGCCCCCTGAAAGGGGCTCTTTGCTGTCTATTTACTGCATTGAGTCCTCCTGAGTTGACTTTAACCCCATTTGTAAAACCACCAGCACTGGGGATGAGGAGGAAGCCAGAGGGCTCTGGCAGACACAGAGTCTTAGCTTTATCTTCAACTGATTCTGTTTGCACTTGGGATTAGGATGGGGAGAGGACCACGTGGGTGTTTTGAGCTTTTCGATGCTACCCCTCCTGGGAATCCTTCAAGGATGTGGGAAAGTTCTCCAATGGGCCATATGCCCATCCCTTCTCCTTCCCCTGAACTCCAGGTCTGGGAATATGTCTGCAGTCAGCCATGTGTGTCTTGTCTGATGTCTGTGTTCTGTCGCTTTGCACCTGCCAGGGTTGGAGTGGTGCAGTCCCTGGCATCCCAGATGCAACTCCAGGCTCCCTTGTGGGAACTGGATCAGCCTGGGTTTCATCTCCCATGATATAGATGAGCCCCATGACCTTATTGCTACTGCTGCTGCCATTAATGCTGTGCTCACAACCTTGTCCGGGAATTTAAGGATGTCAAAATGCTGTAGATGACTCAATAAATGTCTTATCATTTTTTTCCTGGTGGCTGTAATTGATCAAAAAGGAGGTCATGGAGAAGAGGAGGTGGAAGGGGAGGACTGATCACCTTAGAATAATCTAGTCTATAAAACCCTGTGTCTTTTGGGATTCCAAGCGAGTAGTGATATGGGAATGGGGCTCAATGAGCTGAGATTGGTCTTGGAAAGCAAACGGAAAAGTCTTGGCCTCAAAAGAATCTTCATGCAACTTGAGTGGAACCAGGATAACTTGGATATATTGAGTTCCTGGAAATGGAAGCAGCTTACTCTGTAATCTGATGCTTTATGTCCTTCATATTGTGCAATAGGAGTGGCCACCAGGTACCCCTAAATGTCTTGTGTACAGGGAGGCATTTCATCCCAGGTAGCCACAGGTGTGCCCTTGGCTCCAGGAGTCCCATCCCCTAACCCTCTGCAGAGTCAGAGCCATCAGTCCCTGCCCGACTAGGTGCCTAATCCCATTTCCTAGAGGCTCTGTTGATGGTCACAACTGTGGTGCCCACTTTTATATTAGTCATATGAGTTTTAGTTGCTAGCAGATAATTTGGGCTGATAAATCAGGAAAGGAATTTGTGAAAAGAAAAAAAGTTGGGCAGGTCTTAGAATTCTTATAAGACTGGAGACACCAAAAATGTTATCTAAAACCACATATTATGTTCCCAAACTGATGGTGAAACTTAACTGCCACTGTTACTGCCACCAGCCAGCCCAGTGATGTATCTTTCATGCTGGGGACTAGGTGTCCCCAGTTACCACTATCTTGAAGCACATAGCATTGCTTCCATTCTCACCAACAAATCAGATCCAGATCCCACGGTCTCCATGACTCCCTTGGATTCCCTGGGTTTCACCCAGGAGAGACTGGAAACTATACTTCTCTGGATTCTACCTTGGGGAGGTCCAGCTCACAAGTCTGGAGATTTTCTAAATATTCTAATGGTGTTCAAAAGTCCTGTGAATAATTAATGACCACATGATTGAAGTCTATGGAAAAAGTGACAAAGCTAGCTTCCTCTGGTGGCCAGATGGGCCACTGCAGAATTGGGTCAACTGGATAGGCCGGAGAGGCCATTCACCAATGCACCCGGGCATCTAGTGGGGATGTCCCAAGCTGGTAACCTGGGAGGTGCTGCTCCCTGAGGCTGAACCTGCTACTACTTCCTTTAGAGATATTATCAGGCTATGTCCTATGGCTCATTTAGCAGACAACTTCAGATGCTTCGAAAATGCAACTATGAATTAGAGGCTGTGAATCCCAGGTGTTAGACTCTGCTGGCTGCTTTCACAGGAGAATTCCTTAGAGTATGGACAGACATTATTTTCACTGATGTGACCGTGACAGATTGAGGTCCCATGTATTTCATTCTTAGAAAGAGGTCACATTCAAGAAGTAAAGGCAAAGAGTCAAAAGCAAGTCGAGAAGCTGGAATTACATATTAAGCTTGAGTTTCTTGGTGACTGTGAAGATCAAGCTACTGAGTGCGTATGAATTCAGTCCTGATTCATACATCTGCTCCTCAACATCGAGTCCTCTTTTTTCCTAACCCCCCTTAAAAGAATGTCTTGAATCCTGGTTATTCCTAGGTAACAATTCCTGGGTATTTGTGGGTACTAACACTAAGTGTAATTCCTCTTGGAAACTCAGTAGTTCTCCAGCTTTAGCCTGTATCAGAACCCCTTGAGGGTGTTTCATGGAATTTGAGTGGAATCAGGATCCCATCTATGTTTTGGGTCCTGGAAATGGAAGCAACTCACTCTATAGTCTTTGATGCTTTATGTATTTCATATTCTATGGGAGTGATCACTACATACCCCAAAAGCTTGCCTAGAGGGAGCATCTGTTAAAATACAGATTGCTGGACCCTCTCCCATAATTTCTGATCCCAGCCTCTTGGACCTGGCCAGTGATTTGCTCCCTAGGAGGCTGACAACATATACAGACATTAGCAGCTTGGGATTTAATTTAATTTCCCTTCAGGCTCATGTCTTAAGATCATGAGGCAAAAGGGTTCAAGGGACAATCAGCTTATAGATGTTCAAAGATGGCCCAAGAATCCAGGTCCAAGAATTCAAATCATCTTGAATCTCTGAATCCTTGGACCATCTCTGAATCAATCAGGATCAAATTCAGTGAGCTATGAAAGGAAAATCCCACTAAAAATGGCTTAAAGAAGACAAGTTTAGTTTTTCTCATACTGAGTCCAAAAACAGAAAATTCAGAACTGGTATTGTATTTATGGTCTCTCTAGGGACTCAAATTTCTTTCTTTCCACATCCTTTGCATGTGAGTCTTAGGGACACTTTATGGTCCAAGGTGGCTCCTGGAGCTCTGGGTGCCAATGAACTCAAGTGGGAGAAGGGTAAAGCTCTCTCCTCCTTCTTCTGTCATCATCTCTTAAGAAGCCTTGTATCTCCTTCATGACTTGGCCAATGTTTAGTCTCATGGCCATAACTCACTGCAAGGCAGACAGTGTAATCCCCCCTTAATAAAACTGAAAGGAGAAAGTGGATATTGACTGCTAAAGAGTGGTTTGTGTCATAATCTCAACCCCCTAATCATTGGGCAATCTCGTGGTGGTCACTGGGCTCATCTCACATCTGTGCAAAAAGAGAGAGGTATATGTATGCTCCACTCTATTGAAAATGACAAACGAGGGGGTGCAGTCTCCAATCTGACCATAGAATGACTTTGAAGGATCCCTGGATCAGAACTGGGGAAACTTGTTATATTACCACCTAGTGGTGCTAGGTTCACTGTCTCTATTCAGCAAAGAATTGGAGAACAAGACCCAGAGACAGCAAGCAAGAAGTAGGTTTATTGTAAAAGTGATAGAGATACAGAGGTGGACTTTTCCCAAGAGAAGGGGTCCCGAGCTGGGAATCTAGTGGGAGAGTTTTGGCTTGTTCTTTTTATGGTCTCTGGAATTTCCTCTTTTTTTTTTTTTTTAATCTCTGCCCCTGTCTACATGCTCCTCACTATTGTTGATTGGTGCCCTCCTGGGTCCACAGTCTGTTTTAGTTTTTCTAATGGATTCCCCTGCTTAGGAGCATGAGCACAGAAGTGTCTGTCTGATTGTATCTGTCTGATTGGGTCCCCCACTTGTGTCCACAAGCACTTTCGTCAAGCAGGAAGTTGACCTCATCAGAAGACCCTCTCCATGCTCCTTTGTTCTGGCCCTGCCCCCAACCTCCTCACTCGCCATCTTGCCCTGACTGCCTAAGCCCCTCTACGTCTGCCTCAGTTATTCCCACCACTGAAACCGCGTCTAGTTTCCAGGGGTGAGAATGTGATTATGTCCTTTCTGATTTCCTTCATCCTTTGAACTTTTCCTCACAGCTGCACTTCTTGAGTGGGTTCTGTGCTCCAGAAACTTCCGTATGAATTCATCTCTTTTTAATTTGGGGGTTTCTTTGAGATAGTTTTTTTAGGGGGCAGAATGAGGGTCCTCTAATTCATGATCATCAGTTACCCCCAAGTGAACTCAATTTGGATGCTTCTGAGCCTCGCAGGTTTGTTAGCCTCCCTCTCATTGGACAACCTGTTGCAGTGGCTCTGATGTGAACATGGAGATGGCTCTTCCTTTCCAGATCTTAGATGCAAGGTTAGGATTCCAGATCCCAGACAGAGATGGCCTGGGATGCAGACATATGTGCGCTTGAACACTCCGAGACTACCAGCCTTATTAATAAGACCACTTCCTGTGGGCCTCTGCAAAAGCCTATGGTGAGAACATCCCAGGCAGAGAAACCACCAGGAGTAAACGCACTTGAACATGATACGAACTAGCATGCAATCTGTGTTAGTTTCCAAGGGCTGCCTTAACAAACCATAACAAACTGGGTGGCTTGAGACAACTGAAACTTGTTGTCTCACAACTCTGAGGCTAGAAATTTGAAATGAAGATGTTGCCAGGGCCATGCTGCCTTTAAAGGTGAGGGAGAAGTTTCCGTTGCTTTTCTTCTAGCTTCTAGGCTTGCTGGCAGGCCACTCTTGACATGCCTTGGCTTATAGAGGCCCCACTCTGATCTTTTCCTCTGTTAGCACAAGACTTTCTCCATGTGTGTCTTTTTCTGTATTTCTATTCTTCTTTATAAGGACAATAGTCACATTTGATTTTGGACCTACTGTAATCCAATACAGCATCAACTAATTCATTATATCTGCAAAGACCCTATTTCCAAATGTGGTCCCATTCATAGGCAGTTAGGGCATCAGTATGTCATTGGGGGAGACATAACTCAATCTATAGTAAAGGGCAAGGAGGTTTGGAGCATCACTGACTGAGCAGGCACACTAGTGTTTACTTGAGATTATTTATTTGGAAGAGATGGAGGGTTGGTGTGAATATGTGGGATGAGTCACGATCAGTCATCCATAGTCACCATCAATGCAGTTAAGTAAAGTCCAAAATAAAGTGCAACAACCCTGATCCCAAACCCTATTATCCTGGCTCTCACATGGTCCTTTCTAAACATTTTTCACATTTCTTGTGTAAACTTGTAGTGCCTGAGTTGTCACCTACCCCATCACAGCAGCATGTAGACCCTCAGGGGACCCAGGCTCAGCTGTGAAGTCAGATGAAATTCTTAAACTCTTTCAAGTGGGCTGGACACTGACTTTTTCTTACTGCCCCAGCAAGCCTAATTTTCAAAGGAATTGAGTGTCTCTTTCCAAACAAAAAAATAAAAGCTGACCAACATTCACGAAAGACAGGAACACTCATGAGAGGCAGGAGCCTTGGACAAAGCCATCGTGTGAATCTGTTCTGACTCATGCAGACTCTTGAGTGGATGGGCATTTGCGGGTGAAACCTCAGCTTCAGGGGGCTCATCTTCCACCAACTCAACAAGAAGTGTTTTGGTTCTGTCCCTCAGGGTTCTCTCGGGGCCACTCCTCTCAGTCACACTCCTCCCTTCCAGACAGCCCCACCCCAACCTATGGTATTCTAGCTGCTTCCTTTGCCTCACATAAGGTTCACCTCCTCTCTGTCCCTGCC